CCAGAACCATCCCCAGGACTGGCAAATAAATGGGCAGGCATTGGTGAGTATCTGCCACACGAACGAATGAGTGAGCAAGTGGCTCCCAGGGAAGGAGCTATGAGAGTAGGTCTGGATTTTGGGGCAGGAGAAAGCGGGTGAAGGGGAAGAGGGGCTGGCAGAAAGGCAAAGCCCCCACTAAAGTGGTCCGGAGACTGGAGGTGACCGGGACAGCAGCTGCCCTCTGTCTCAGGTCTGCTCAGAGTCTGCTCAGGGCAGCGTGCCTAACCCGGCTGTCCTGTCCCTCGCCGGAGGAGGCCAGGGGCTTTAGAGGCACCGGGAGCTATGCCGGCCTTCAGCAGGTGCCCAGGCCTCCTCCACACTGACCTTTTGCATGGCTGCACACAGGATGCCATTGCCCTGGTGGCAGGGAACCTCCACAGAGCCCAGGAACTGTACATCGAATCGCTCCACCCAGCAGGGGCTCCGCTTGCTCCCTGTGGGTCACACAGGCCCAGGTCAGGAGGGGACAGAGGAAGCATCTGCAGTGACAAGCTGACCTTTGGGGACAGGGCCTCACCTAGCAGATCCTTGGCAGGCCCAGGCACTGCATGGGCGTAAAAGGCCGGGAACACGCCTCGCTCCCCAGTGCGCATATTGAAGCCACGGAACCAGAAGTCATCCTCTTCAGCTTCCACCAGCACTGGGTCATCCACGTCCAGCTCTAGCTCATCTGGATGCCGAGGGATGAACCTGAGGTCAGGAGAGCGGTTAGGAAGCTGGGGCGGGCCTGGCTGGAAACTGCCTAGCAGTGTCCTGCAATGTCTGTGGATGGGCGCTGGGACCACCCAGGCCACAGGGCAGCCATACCTGAAGACAGCCCGGTGGGTCTGCTCTCTCTCCTCCCCGTTGACCAGACAGGAAAAAAGGCCAAAGGATTCTGTGCCTGAGAGACAGACATGGGGAGAGGTAGGGACTCAGGTAGGGTGGGTGGGGTGGGGGAGGAAAGTACTCAAAGGCCTGGCCTGGAGCTGCAGCTGCCAAGTTCCTGGACAGAGGCTTGTGCCCAGCCCTGGGCGCCCCAGACCGTCCGTATGCTGTGCACTTTGGGGCCCGCGAAGGACCTGGGGCCCCTCTCTGTCCCCGCCTCCCACTTACTGGAGGATCGAGAGGTGCTGTTGACAAACACGTTGAGGAACTTCTTAGAGAAGGTGAGGTCAGGGCTATCCGGAGAGGTGTCCGCTGGGCCCTGCGCTCGGCCGAGCAGCGCGGCGCTGGCCTCCTCCTCGCTGGCCTCCTCCTCGCTGGCTTCCCCGGCGCTGTCCTCCTCGCCAGCGTCCCCCAGGCCGGCACAGCGGCGCAGGCTCACCAGCTCCAGCTGCGTGTGCTCGTCCACCACCAGCGTGTACTTGACCGCATCATACACCAGCGATGCGTCCAGCGGTGCAGTGCAGCCCAGCCCCCGGGCCCCCGGGGGAGCCCCAAGGTCCTCGGCCTCCTCCTCATCCCCCTCGTCCTCCTCCTCTGAGCAGGCGGCCGAGCAGGCACGACCAGGGCGAGCGCGGCGGGCAGCTGCGGCCCAGAGCGGCGTGATGGTGTCGCGTGTAGGGTTGCTGAGGAACAGGCACGGCTCGGGCTGCGCTGGGCCGGGCCGTGGGGCCGCAGGCGCGGGAGGTGGAGGCGCACACAGCGTCTCCATGTCCACCAGCTCCACTCCAGGTCCTGCTGGCACCTCGGGGTCCTGCGAGTGCGTGGCGGGCACCACCTCGGGGCCCGCGGGCAGGTGCGGCGCGGGGGACAGGCACTGGCCAGGGCAGCGGATGGGCGAGGAGCCCTCGGAGATCATGCGGCTCACCAGGTTGCTGAGCAGCCACGGTGAGTCGGCGTCTTCGCTGAGGTCAGGTTCCGACTCCGAACCGGACTCGTACTCGCTGTTGGTGTCGTCGGGGCCCACGGGCAGGAAGGCCGGGCGGCGCGGGGGCTCGGGCTCGGGCTCGGGCTCGGAGGCGGGCGACGAGGCCTCCTCGATGGAGTTGGTGAGGTGCGAGGAGCGGCCACTGCTGCTGCTGCCGCCGTCGCTGCTCAGCTCCAGCTCGGTCTCCGAGATGGAAGAGATCATGCGCCCCAGGCGCGCGCCCGCGTCCTCCGAGTCTGAGCCGGGCGACGACAGCTCCTGGCTGCTGCGCCGCCCGCCAGGGCCCCCGCTGGAGCGGCTTCTCAGGTCGGCCTCGATCCCGGGGTCGGAGGAGGAGGGCGAGGCCCCGCCGGGTGCGGGCCGTACCGAGTCCGGGTTCCCTTCACAGTCACAGCCCAGGGGCAGCCCCTGTGCCTCCCGGGCTGCCTCTTCCAGGGGTGGGAGGGGCCCGGGGCGCTCTGCGGAGAAGGACGCAGTCACCTCGAGGGCTGGACCCCCTCCCAGCCCCCCAAAGGTTCCGCCAGGTGCCCCCTCACCTCTGCGGGGCTCCAGGGCAGGTGAGCAGAGCGCTGTCTGGGGCCAGGAGGCTGCAGGTGCAGGGACAAAGCCTCCATTGTTGTTCAGGGAGTCCTGGGGTGGGGGAGGAAACAGTCGCACTCAGGACTCCAGCACCCACCTGCAGCCCGGGGGTGTCGGGTCCCAGGCATGGACCCCAGGCTCAGCTCTAGTATGCTGTGGTCAGGACCCACCTGGGCGCCCAGCGTGGTCAGGTAGAGAGTGGCGGGCCGCTTCCTGTGGGGCTCCTCCAGGGACGGTGAGGGGATAAGGGACTCCCCTGCAGGCACCTCTGAACCAGGACCTCCTCCCTCCTTTCCCTTCTTATCTCCCTCCTCCTCCTCCTCCTCCTCCTCTTCTTCATTGTCATCAATCATCTCAAACTCCTGGAAGTCGTCTTGGAAGGAGCAGATGGGGTGTGGCTGCTCCGAGCGTCCCAAAGAAAGGCTGTCCTGCAGGAGGGAGGGAGATGGCAAGGCTGTGCCCAAGGGCAACAGCGACCCAGGGTCTCAGGCTCCAGGGGAGGGAGAGCAGGGAGCAGGAGTCCTTCCCATCCACTCTGCCCTCCACCAACACCGTCAGGTGAAAGTCTGCTGCAGACACACAGATGCCACTCTGTTTCTCGGCAAGAGCCCAAACTCCTGGACAAGATGCCCAAGATCAAACTCCTTTCCAGAGTGGCCCCAACCCACCTTGTAGACTCACCTCAGCTCCAAAGCCCATCACCTCTGACATGGGTACTGCTTCTTTCATAGCTCCCCCCACCAGCCCTAATATGAGGTTTGAACCCAGAGAGCACTGAGCTATGTTACCAGCTGCTCTCCTTTTAAAAAAAAATTTTGAGACAGGGTCTTGCTAAGTTGCCCCAGCTAGACTCAAATTTATAATCCTCCTGCCTCAGCCTCCTGAACAGCTGGCATTACAGATGTGTGCAACCAGCATTTTAATACAGAATTCACCATTGTTGTATGTGGATTTTGGTCTGTCTCCTCCACCAGACTTCACACTCCACCAGGACAGAGCCATGTCCATGCTGCACACCCACTCCCGGGAGCAGCACCTAGGGCTCAGTGGATATTCAGTAAGGAGTGGATAAATGCATACATAGAGAGATAGACTGACTCACCAACCTTGCAGCAACCCTAGGGCCTTGGGCCCAGTCAGTCCATCTGCCAGCAATTCCATCCTCCCTGCTCCATCTGCCTGGCCAGTTAACCTTAGGACTCGGCTGACATTTCCTCTGGACAGTTTCCCTGATTCCCCCAGTCATACCCTTGTGTGCCAGTGGGAATCTAGCCCAGGATACTTGGGCAGTCACTTGTATCTTACATGTCTCCCCAGCCCCAGGCTGCAAGCTCCCAAGGGCAGCTGTTCTGTTCCACTGCTAGCACCTGAAGTCCCCCAGCACTTGCCACAGGGAAGTTGTTCAGAATGAATGAAAACAAACATGGAAAACTTAAAAAGAAGAACCAGAGACAAGGTACGAAAAAGTTCAGGGGTGGAGACTTGAGACAGATGGAGATTGCGGAGGTGAGGTCAGGTCTGGAAGAGCTGAGGTCGCCTCGGCAGCTGGAGGGGCTACATCTCTGCGGGAAGCGGTCCACAAAGGAGAGCACCAAAGCAAAGGTGCCCCTCCCTCCCCAGCGGAGTGCCGGGGCTACAGTGTGTGTGCCAGGAAAAGAGGGCCAGGGCCAAGGAAGCTCCAGTGCCAAGAGGCCGATGGGTAATCACAGGAATTCCTGGACCCCTAGTGGGTTCAGACTCACCCCCGAACCCCAAGGGAGCGCTGGTGGGACCTAGAGGGCCTTTTCCCACCTTCTCGCAGTGGTCCGAGTCATAGCTGAGGCCCAGGCCACAGTCATCGGTGATCTCAGACAAGTCTTCATCATCAAATTCTTCCAGGCTTATGTCCTGGGGAGGCCTGCAGAGGAGGCCAGCGTCAAAGAGCCACCCACCCTGCACTCCCAGCCTAGGAGCTGGTCCTGGGGGCTGCCTGGAGACTTCCAGCTCCTAGGCCCTAACTGCCCTATACCCTCCCATTATCCTGAACCCCCGGCTCCGCTCTCCCCATCCCCCAGCCAGCCAGCCTGGAGGAGCCACCCCTCCCCCTCAGCTCCAGGCCCCCGTGGGTCCCCGGCTCAGCCTCAGAGGAGCCAGCGGGAGCCAGCAGCCAGCAGGGGGAGGGGGAGCTGAAGCGGGGGGTGGGGGGGGGGGGGGGGGTGGCTCTCGCCTGTGAGCCCCGTTCAGGCCGACGTGGAGAGGTCCGACTCCCTCCCACCCCCTCCCTACCTCCCCAGGGCTTTTAACTCCCTCCCTGCCTAGGCCTGGTGGGCCCGGCCGGGCCTCCACCAGGGAAAGGAGGGCCCACAAGGCGGAAAGGAGGGCCCACAAGGCCAAAAGGACACTCGGAGGCGCAGCCTGTTGTCTAGCCAACCGGCGGGCCCTTCAGAGGATCAGAGCGGGGACCCGCCCCAGACGGGGCACCTGCCTGGGCTGGGTGCTGCTCCCTCCCAGCGGGAAGTGGATCTGGACAGAGGCAAAACCAGAGGGAGCCTGGGCCCGGGGACGGGGGTGAGCGGCAGAACTCCACGGCCTCCAGAGCAGAGCGGAGCCTGGGTTTGGGCCTGCGAAGGCGGCGGGGAGGGTGGCTGGGCCGGCCGGAGGAGCCTGGGCCTGGGTCCGCAGGGGCTGCGGAAGGCGAGGGAGCGCGCGGCCCGGGCGCGAGCGCCTACCTGCAGCCGGGCGGCGACAGCGAGTGGAAGGTGGCGAGGGAGAACATCTCCGCGCGATCCGCCATCTTCCCGGGAAAGGCCGGCGGCTGCGGGGGGAGGGGTGAGCGCCGCGGCCCGCGCCCTCCCTCTCACCTCGTGACACGCCCTGCGACACCCGCACCCGCCCGCCACACACCTCGACGCCCTGCCGGGACACCGCGGCAGCGCGCACGCAGGGGGAGGGGTGCGAGCCCGGGGCGGGGCCTCCGCGGGGGCGGGGGGCGGCCTGGGGGCCGGGGCTGGGGGATCTGGCGAGGCTGGTGCTGGCGGGCCGGGCCGGGGCTGGGGGGCCGAGCCTGGGCTGGGGGGTCCGCTGAGGCTGGAGACAGGACGGGTCCGAGGCTGCGGAGAGAGTGCCGGTCGGGGCTGGGGGAGGAGCGGAGGGCGGGTTCAGCTACGGAACCGGTGTGCGGCTGGGTCGGTTTCGGAGCGAGGGCCAGGTAAGATGGGATGATGAGAGAGGCAGGCTCACGGACTCAGGGTCTGCAGGTCGGGCAGGGTGGGGCGAAGGCCTTAAACCGGGAGTCAGGAAGGGAGCGGCGCGGGCCTGCGCACCTCGGATGAGCTGCGGTGCGCAGTTTGCGGAGGGGGCGGCTCGCTGAGGGGTGGGTGCGAGACTGCCCCAGGGAATCCGAATAGCAGAGCTGGGGTCCGCGGCCCGCGTGGGTGGGGAACTGCTCTTCCGCTGCAGGAGCTGTCTCCCATCGGGTGCTGATCGGCCCAGTTGGAGCTGTCCGTCCTAGGGTGCTGATCGGGATGGGTTGGCGCTGTCTGCGCCTGGGGCTATCCGCTCGCTGAGGCTGATTCCTCACGGTAGAGCTGTCCCCAATAAGAGTGCTGATCGTTCCAGAGAAGATGTCTCCCTAAAACATGCTGATGCCGGCTCATGCCGATAAAGGCTGGACAAGACATCTGCCCAGGGGTAGCTGATCAAGTCTGGATTCAGAGCTAAAACTGAACTTTCAGTGCACAATACAGAATGGGAGTCTGAATGGAAGTGTTGAGAGACAATGGGAGAACTTGTAAACCTGAGGCCAGGCTCCATCAATGGAAACAGTTTTTTGAGACCATCTATGTAACTGGCTCTGTTTAGGGTATAGACATGCTCTGCTCTGGTAAGGAGCTCTGTGGGGAGAGTGATGGTTGAAATTCCAGATCAGGGTTGATGTGGACAAGTGGGAGGGGAAGAACTAGGGAGGCTTTGGCTGGAGTTTCAGCAATGGGTGAAATGAAATTTTCCCTCTTTTCCCAAGATGGAAATTGTATGCCCGGAATTTTGTGTTTAAATATCCTCTGGAAATGTATTTCTGAGGGAAGGATGAGGCACTTGAAAGACCAATGTCTAGAAACTACAGTGCAGAAGGAGCTATGGAATCAGGACACTGCCATTCTTTAGATGGCCATCTTCCTAACTCAGAGGAGCACTACAGCTGGGATCGAATTGGTCTTGCCGTCTTCTGTGCCCCAATCATGGCTTACATTTTATCTCAATTACAGCATTTTTTATGAGTGGCATCTGTTAGTTTATGTTTCCCTCTGTGATGGTGAGGAGCTGCTAGGGGCAGAGGTGGTGCATTTTCTCTTTAAACTTCCAAGGGCACGTCCTGCATATGGTAAGGGCTCAGCAAAAGTGTGGGTAAATTTAAAAATGTGAATGGGAGGGATTATGGGTGCTACTGAATCTGGGGCATCAGGTCTTTGTCATCATACTTCTTTTTTTATTTGAGGAGCACTATGAACATTCCCTATATTTGAGGCTCAAAGGGTCTGAAGCTATATTAACCACTCTCTGATTTTCCTTATAAGACATATGAGATCTTTACAGAACATAGGTTTGGATCCTAACTTCCCTGGTTTCCTTTTGATCCTGGGGCTCATTATCAAGCTGATAACTTGGACATCCACCTAAATGATCTACCCAACACCCCAGTCAGCCATGCCTTGACTTCTGATCAGTGAATGATTGGTGGCTCCCTCAACTCTAGTGACTTCATACAGAGCCCCCAGGATTCACCTTCATCTAGAATTGCATCAACCTTGGAAGTCACTGCAGATCATAACTCCCATATACTCTGCAAATATCATCAGATGATCACCCCCTGACTCTAGGAGGAGTATAAATAGTACAAGATGAGCCTTCCACAACCCATTTTATCTGTGAATCTCCCTTCTTGCCCCAGAGCACAAGTGGAGGATCACCAGCCTTGGGGTCTGAGAGACTGTAGTGTCAATCTTTATTTTGCCACCAACTTTCTCAACATGAGCTAATTGCTCAATCCATCAGGACTTCCATTTCTTCATCATCACAATGATGCTGTGAGGGCATATGAGCCATGGAAAGCCCCACGTTTAGCCTCAGGCACAAGGTCTACTCATGGTCACTCAATGTTCATACTTCTTCTGCTCCTCACACTGGGTCTACCTTCTCCTAGCCACCCAAACCACTCTGTCTAGCTCGGAGATGTAGTAATGAGAAGTACTTTATTTCCTGAGGGAGTTTATGCTCCTTATAGCATGCACCTTGCACAGGTGGTGGCAATGAGGTCTACAGGAACCTGAGAGATCCTTCCCAGAAGTTCCTTCCTCCCTCCATTTGTGGGTCACAGGCACTGCTAGTTTTCCTGCTGCCTTCCTGACTACTCACTGTCTGTCCTTCCAAACTCCTCCTTTCCCTTAACTCGTGTGTGTGTGTGTGTGTGTGTGTGTTTCTTGGGCATTTTTTGGCAGTGCTGGAGATTGAAGAATGTTCTGTTTTAATACTTTTTTCTCCGTCTGGACCATCAATGGTGTGAACCATTAGTACAAAGCACAACATTGATTTGACTTGTAAGGGAGGGTTGTGATAGCAACACATCTTCAACAGTCCTGACTATAGCAATCCTAAAGAGGACACAGGATTTTTTTTTCCCAGTACCAGGGGTTGAACTCAGGACCTTGCGCTTGCCAGCCAGGCATGGCACCACTGAGCTAAATCCCCGGCCCTGATGCAGGATATTTTCTAACAATTTCTCATGGATTAGAAAAGAAATAATTGCTAATTATCAGTCTGTTATTCTACTCTTTATTTTATGGTATCAGGGATTGAACTCGGAACCTTTCACTTTCAAGTCAGGCGGCGGAACCACTGAGTTAAATCCTCGGCTTATTCTACTCTTATTGCACAGAAATAAAAAACAAAATAAAATGCCAGTGACTAAAAGTGCACACAGAAATATTTACTAAAGATGGGAAACTGAGCTGGGGATATAGCTCCATGGTAGGGCAGTTCCCTAGTATGCAAAAGGCCTTGGGTTCAATAACCAACACCACACACAAACAGAATAGAATCACACCTTAGAGATGCTGTCATGACCAATAACTTCACTACCTTCTGAATCTTGATTTTAAGGGTTTATTCTCTGACCGTGACCTCCTGTTTTTCTTGCTCTTATTGTATTACAATACCCACAGTTCTTTCACTCCACAAGAAATGTGTGCCATGTGCCAATGGTGTGTAACAAATTATCCTCAAATTTAATGGGTTAAAAATACCAACTTAGGACATTTCTCAGACAAGGAAGTAAAAGCAGCAAATAAATATATGAAAAAATGCTCAACATCACTGGTTATTCAAGAGATGCAGATGAAAACAACACTGAGATTCCACCTCACCCTAGAAAGAATGGCTGCTATCAAGAAATCAACCAATAACAAATGCTGGTGGGGGTGTGGAAAGAAAGGAACCCTTCTCTATTGTTGGTGGGAGTGCAGACTGGTGCAACCACTGTGGAAGTCAGTATGGAGATACCTCAAAGAACTAGGCTTAGAGGTCCCATGTAACCTAGCTATTCCCCTGCTGGGTATCTTCCCAAAAGAATTAAAAGAATCATACCACAGTGATATATGTGCACCCAGGTTTATAGCGGCCCAGTTTGTAATAGCTAAAGCTTGGAAACAGCCCGAGTGCCCATCAACTGTAAACTGAGTAAAGAAGATGTGGGTTTTTTATAAAATGGAGTACTATTCAGCCATAAAGATGGAGAAACTAGAGACATTTATAGCTAAATGGATGCACATTGAGGCCATACTCTTAGGTGAAATAAATAGGACACATGTGTGTAAATACCAAATAGTTTCTCTAGTGTGAGAAACTGAAAGTGTAAATAAGGATACATGTGGATGAAATAGCCTAATAACATATTTCTTGGATTGTGTTTCCATTGTGTGTCATATCACTGTATCGAAATTTAAATTAGGGAGAAGCTTGGCTTCTGTGGAGTCTGCTAACTAACTGGAGTTCTATTTTCCAGATCATTATTTGTTCAGTGTTGGTTTTGGGGATCTTTCTGAAACAAATCATATCCTCTGGTGTCTTGTTGGTGCTTGAGAGGCTTTTTTTTAAGTTATATGGAAAAATGTTTAAGTGCTTTTCAGTTTTGTTTTGGTTGAGTTCCTCTGTTGGAATAGTTGTAGTTTTTTCCCCCTTGCATTTTTCTTCTTTGAATGGTTTTAAGTTTTTATATGTGTGTGTGTTTGATAATAAAGCTATTTTGAAAATTTAAAAAAATACCAACTTACTTGGTTTACAGTTTGAGGTCAGAGACTTTGGAAAGACTGATGGGAATTCTTGCCAAAGTCTCTTTGGGTACAGTCAAGGGTGAGCTGGGCTGGGTGTCTGCAAAGGCTTACCCAAAATATATCTGTTGGGAGCTCAGTGAGGTCGTCCCCAACACCTGGAGTGCCCTTTCCAGCTGCTGATCTCAGGGTTGTCCAGGGCCAGGCAGAAGCTGCATGACCTCTTCTCACCTAGCCTTCAAAGTTATGTGGCATCATTTAAGCCACATCTCTTAGTCACAGCAGTCACAAGCCTATACAGGTTTAAGAGAGGAGTCCTAGACCCACCTCTCACTGGGTATCAAAGAATTTGGTAGCTGTGTTATGGGGCCACCACAAACTCTAGTACATGAGCTTCCTTACCTTTCTCACTGTCCACTCAAGTCCCTTGTTGCGATTAACCCTCTCTTTTATATCACCAATATCTTCTCTTCTGGATTCTCACCAGCAAACAAGCATAATCTGATGTTAAAGTAAACGGTATATGGGCCGGGGATTTAGCTCAGTGGTTCAGGTGGCTGCCTTGCAAGCACAAGGTCCCAAGCTCGATCCCCGGTT